CAGTCCGGAGCTCTCTGAACTCCAGGTGTGTATCTCTACCTATTACATACCTCCTTCGCTTGGATGTCTCCTAGGCATCTTAAACCTATGTACACATCCAAACTTTTGATCTTCCTCCTTGGACTACTCCTCCAAGGGGGTACCCATCTCAGTAAATAGCAACTGCATCCCTGTAGTGGTTCAGGTTAAACATCTTGCAGTTCTTCTTGACGCATCTCTTTCTCTTATGCACTACATCTAATATGTCAGCTCTTCAATACATATCTGGGATCTTACTCTTTCTTGCCACCCTGGCGCAGGCCACCATCAGTTTTGGCCCTGATTATCTTAATAGCCTCCGAACTGGCCTCCTTCCACCTGGCCCCCTCCTCACCAGTGTAGTCCCCACATAGTGCCACTGACATATTTCACATTAGGTCACATCTCTGGCTCTGCACTTCCCAAGGGCTTCCCATATCAAAGTGAAAACCAAGAGCTCTAGAATGGCCTACGCAGCCCTGCATCATCTGCCCCTCCGCCCACCATCTCTCTGGCCTCAACTCCTTGCACCATTGCATAGTCTGCTCACTCACTGTCCCGGCCGCACTGGCCCCTAGTGCTCTTTCTGGACCATGTCGGGCATGCTTCTGCCTCAGGACCTCTGCACCTGCTCCCCGGAATTCTCTTCCCTCACACGAGTCTGCATGGCTCCCTCCCTCCCTTCAATCAGAGTTATTTTTTGTTTGTTTTTTTTTTAAATCCCAAAGTCTCCTTCTCAAAGAGACCTTCTCTGATGTCCCTATTTAAAATCAAAACTCCCCACCCACCATGATATTTCCTGTCCGTATTTACTGATTTATTTTTCTCTATAGTATTCATCGCCATTTAATAGACAACAGAATTTATTTACTTACTTATTTAAGTGTCTGTCTCCCCCCCACACACACACACACACACACTGGAATGTAAGCCCCATAAGAGCAGGAATTTTGGTTTCCTCCTCCCCCTGCCCCAACTGCAGTATCCTCATTGCCTACAACAGTGCCTGGTACCTAGTTAGGCACCCACTACATTTTCTTTTTAATGGAAGAATGAATTCTAGTTTGTAGTAAGACCAATTGGAAAATCTGGATGTGCTTTAGAAAAATAAGGGCAGACTGATTCCAGGAGGTAATTTAAAGTCAGTGCTAATGATGTAAAAGCCATCTTTGAGTTGTATTTTCATCTGTCTTCTCTATAGTTTCTTCTGTAAATAACTCTCTTAATAGAGTAAGTGTGGCAAATATTGAGTGAGTTTAGACATCATGGCAGTAGCTTGTGTTCAGCATGTCTAACTCTTGTCCCAGTGCCTGCCATGCTGTGCTCAGTGGCATTTTGTATTTCCTACATTGTGTTCTTCCACATCAGGTATAATTTACTATTCTAATACCATGATTCTACGTGAGTCTTTCGACTTCTTGTTTCACTTGCAATTCCCTTTCATCATTGTTCTTGATCTTTTCCCCTTGAAGTTTCTTTTTTTTTTTTTTTTTTGAGACAGAATCTCACTGTGTCACCTGGGCTAGAGTGCTATGGCATCAGCCTAGAGCACAGCAACTTCAAACTCCTGGGCTCAAGCGATCCTCCTGCCTCAGCCTCCCGACTAGCTGGGACTACAGGTGTGTGCCACCACGCCCCATTAATTTTTTCTATTTTTAGTTGCCCGGCTAATTTTTTTTCTATTTTTGTAGTAGAGATGGGGTCTTCCTCTTGCTCAGGCTGGTCTCTAACTCCTGAGCTCTAGTGACCTTCCCACATCAGCCTACCTGAATACTAAGATTACAGGTGTGAGCCATCATGCCCAGCCATTATGTAAGTTTTTAAAACAGCTAAAATATTTATTCTATTCTTTAGTTGAGTTAATGCTCAGAAATGTGTCTAGTGTTTAGCATCATTTTAATGCCCTTTAGTAAGTTCAAAATAGATGACTGGTGAGGATTGGAGGATGTCTAAACATAATTTCAAAAGGACAGAGTAAATAAACCCTGGGAAACCCGTGTGGCTCTTCTAAATAGTCCTTACTCACTCTTGTCATTGTAAACACATGTAAATGAACAAAGTGGTCTTTATGGACTGTTTGGATGTGGATGTATTCATTGACTCATTGAATCTCTGTACTTAGTTCAGCCATGGGGAAATACACACACACATTTTGAGTCTATAAAGTGCATAAGTCTGTAAATATTTTTTACTTATAGCCTCATTCTCTGTTACATCAGACTCTGTATTCACTATCCATCCTTCTACCATGAAGAATCTGGCCTTTGTACTCAGACCAGAATTTGAATACTAGTTTTACTACTTATGGGCTGAGTCTCTTTTTCCACCACCCACCTTTAAAAAGGGGGTTGATGAATCTCTCTCTCAAGGTTATGAGAATCACGTGCCTGGCACTGTGTCTTGGTGCTTAATAAATGCTTTGTTATTATTGTAAGATAGGTTAGATATAATGTCTAATATAGAAACTTTCCAACACACACACAAGTAAAGAGAATGGTTTATTGGGTCTCAAAGTACCCAGCTGCAGCTATTATCTACTGTTGTTTCATCTCTACACCACCGACTCCCTTGTCCCAGCTTATTTTGAAATAAATCACAGATATAATGTCTTTATCAACCCATAAATATTATAAGACATATCTCTAAGAGTAAGCACTCTTTTTAAAAAAATAGCCACAATATCATTGTCAAAGCTAATAATTCCTAAATATTATCAAACATCTAGTTAGTATTCAAATATCTCCATTTGCCACATAGGGTCTTTTTTTTTTTTTTTAACAGTTTGTTTAAATCAGTATCCAATTAAGGTCCATTCTCTTTAATATGTTATTGGAAATATAACTAAGGTATGGGATGAGATTTTGCTGTAAGAATGTTCATTGCAGCATTGTTTAGAATTGGGGGGGAAATAATCAAAGAAGGGTATGGGATTGCTCCCCCAAAAGGTATATGACCTGACAATAGAACATCGGACAGCAATTTTAAATGATACTGTAGAAAGATTATGTGATGACCAGAGAAAGCATTACAGAGTGAAACAAACAGGCCATAAAACAGCATTTTTACTTTTATACCGTATTTGTTAATAAACTATGTGCCTATATTCTATGCCTGTTTCTGAATGGTGGGAAAATGAGAGATTTTAATTCTCTCTTAAATTTAAAATGAAATTTCTCATCTTTCTGCAATGATCATGTACTACTTGTGTAATAAAAAGTTATTAAAAATAAGAATGCCGCAGAAGTGCACCCTGGCAGTTGTTTGCTTGGTTTCACATGGAGTTAGTTATACTTGGCACGCTGCGTACTGTTCTTACCATGTGTTTTCCCTCGTGATCTGTAGAGAAGTCCTCCAAGGCAAGAAGAGGCAGAAGCTCTGGGAGGGCTGTGCCTTTACCTGAGGCTAGCGCAGCTCCACAAAGGGGCATTCAGATGGCCATTGTTCACTGCTGGGGCCCCATGACCTCATGCGGTCTCTGCATGCGGGAAGCAGAGATGGGCTGGGACTGGTCTTCCTTTGACATAAGGGGAAACTGAGTCATAGAGCACCTGCCTTTTTGCTCACATTGGTCCCAGGGACAGGGTTTTTAGTCCAGACGTCTGGCGCTGGCCGTAACCACAAGGTCGTGTTCCGCATCTTCTCTGGGTTTCAAAGGTGTGTGGGGGCAGGACCCAGTCCTGTCTCGCCGAGAGAGTGCTTAATCCTGCCTCACTGTCACACGCCACGCTGCATTCTGCCGAGCAGGATCTGACCAAACTCGCTCGGGTTCTCACACCCCTGTAAGGCGGGATTGGCTTCTGCTTGTCTTGCAGTCTGTGAACTCTTAGCTTTCTGCACAGTGTCACTTCCTCTGACCTTTGCTGCCAATGCCCACAGCCCCGAGTCCTTCTCAGCGAGTGTCCCTTATGCTCTGGTCACCCCTTCTCCGGCTCTCTGAAGCCTCACCCTGGGCCTGCGTTGTCATGTCTGCTGTCCTCACCAAGCCCTCCCCGACCCCACCCCACCCCTGTCTCCACGGCCCCCTCTGTGCCGGCTCTTCCTTCTCTGAGTCCCTGCCTGTGCCCTGCAGTCTAGCTACGTACTCCTTGCGGTCTGATTGTGCCATCTGAAAGCCACCTCTTCTCCCCTGGAAGACTCCGGGCTCCCTGCAGGCAGGCACTGTCAATCACAGACAGGTATGATAACATCTCCGACAGGTGACTGGCATTTCTTAAGTGCCAGGCCCAGAGCTGGGTGATTTGCCTAATCATCTCATTTCGTGATGCCAATAGACCTGTGTGATCCCATTTGACAGATGAAGAGACAGGTTGAGTCGCTTGTACAATGTCTCCCAGCTGCAAAGTGATAGAGCAGAAATTCTCACCACATCTGCCTGGCTGCAAGCCCACTGATTTCACTCCTGCATAGACCCTTTGTCACTGTCATTGCTTGACTCAAACGTTTCCTTGGGTGTTCTTTATGACGGACTGCCTCTGTGGGGTCCTTGTTTCTTGGTGTCTGCTGCCCACGCGAGAGCAAATATTACAATCTCTGGCCAAGGTGCCTGGGGCTGGGCTTCCTCCAAGCCCAGAGGGTTGGCTGGGATGAGAATGCTCAAAGCTCCCTGTGTCCTCCCACCCCCGCCTTCTCGCCTCTGTGCACCCCTCGCTATAACCTCTCTCTCCTGCCCCTTTCCACGGAGACACGGAAGCAGCCAGAGGCTTCTTGCTAGACAAGCAGGGTCCCTCGTGCTGCAGGTCTGATAGCTCTTGGCAGAGTCGGTAAGAAAATGGAGCCATGGACCAGTGAAAGGCCCCCAGGAGAGGATCCAGACCGAAGGCAGGGCGGCCCCCTGACTCCCACACCCCATCCGGACCCTTCCCCTTCACGAGGGCCCCTCCCCTTCCCCCAATCAGAATCCTTGTTTGGGGGCTCGAGCCCTGGGCTAAGCTCCACCCCTCTCCCAGCACCCTAAAGTTTGGGGGCTGCCTTCAAGTCAGAGATTTCCAAGTAGGGGAGTGTTGGAGGGACTTCTGAGGGCAGCTCATCCTGGAAGGATGGGGGACAGGCGGCAGCGGCTGCTGTCTCCAAGGATGTCTGTGTAGCTCCCTGGGAGACCCTGTGCCCTGTCCCCTCCCAGCCCGGGGAGCAGGGACGGAGCGGAGCTCGCTGGTTATCACCTGACGCTGCGCAGCCACTGATCCCATTGGTGGAGCCAGATTCGGTCTGGCGCTCTCGTTCTCTCGCCTTCCCTGCCTCTCTCTCTCCTCCACGCCGCTTTGATTTCGCTCTTGCCTCTCTTCTTGCGCTGGGCTGGGAACATCGTCTCACGGGGGCAGCAGCAGCGGCGCCTGCGGAGCCAGACAGGAGCTGCCCGCAGGGCATGGACGCAGCCTCCCTGGCGGCCGGGAAAGGAGCGAGCGCCCACCGCTGCCTGTGACCCAGGCATCTGGCCGCTGTCCCCCTGCCTGGGGAGCTTGTCCACACAGAGGTCTCTCCCTTCCCTCCCTGCCAGGTCTTCCTCTGCAGAGCCCGGTGGAGCCAGGTGAGTGCCCTTCCTCCCCTGAGCATTCTGCTGTCCATCCTGAGGGGCTGGGAGCCGGGGGCGCCAGGGTCCTGCCACTGCCGGGGGTGCCCACCTGGATTTCCAGGCCCGACGACCTTGTCCCCTTTCCCTCGGGCCCTTTCAAAGGGGTTAACAGCTGGATCCTGTCTCTGGGGCACCACAGTTAGTCACCCCGTGACCATTCTGCTGCAGTCAGCGATGCCAACAGGGACGGCGGGTGGGGGAAGCTTCCCCTCTGGCACACGGTGGCTTTTCCGAACCAGAGCGGGGAAGGGGTGTCAGTGTGTACCACTGTGCACACACTCGCCAGGAGACCAAGGCTGTCTGGGCAGACGGGTCTGTGTGCATGCAATGTGCTCATATGTGGGTTTCAACTGGAGTGAGGCATGTCTCCAAACATATCTTTCTTGCACACGTGAGGTACATGTGGGGGGACACTTACCTGAGTAGCCTGTGGCATGCGTGGGTGGAGGCACTGTGAGACAGTGCATTTAGGGTGGACATGTCACTTGTCACGTATGTGGGAGTACACGTTGGGGGGTGCATGCAACCCGGGGGCTTCTAGGCGGGGGCTGCAACTCGGGAGCAGGGCGGGGTGGGCAGTGGCGAGCCTGGGCAGAAGCCCTGGTCTGTGGGCAGACCTGCGTAGGTGCGCAGACCTGTTGGCATGAGCCGTCAGGGCTGGCAGAGTGGGGCCAGAGGCAAAGTCTGTGTCTTTGAGCCCGGAGAAGACTCAGGAGAGAGAATACCAGAATCCGGGCGGGGGCTGACGCGTGTGCGAATGCACATGTGTGTGCAGGCAGGCATGTGGGCTGCGTGCCTGCTTGTGGAGGTGGCACGCACACATGTTGGTGCCTGTGGCTTCCTCTTTTCCCCAAATATGGCTTGTGAGAAGGTGTGCGTGAGCCTGTGGACACGAACGCGTCTGGTGTGTTTGGAGGCGACAGCTGTGGAGGGAGACTGCGGGGCATTCTTGGACTGTGGAGGGTGGCGAGAGGTGCCTGAGTGCGTGGCTGAGCGTGGGGCAGCGAGGGTGTCCGCGGAGGTGTGGGGTGCGTGTGGGTGGGCACGCTCGGCACACGTGTGTGCGTGCGTGCCTGCCTGCCTGAGTGTGGGTGTGTACATGCTTGTCTCGGGGTGGATCCACTTGGGAGTGTGGGTGTTTCTCGGGTGTTGTCCCGACCTGTCCCTCACACCCTGCCCTTCCCCAGGCATCGGGGTGTAGAAAACTGGGGTTCACGCCCACCGCAGGTCCACCCCAGGCTTCTCGGTGGCACTCCCTGCCATCCTCCCAAGCTTGGGTGGGGGTGTCATCTCAGCCTTCCCAGAACTGCGAGGAGGAAGGGACGAACATCCACGCAGGTCCTGGAGACCCCAACCGCCACACACAGCTGCCCCGAATTCTGGGGAGACTGTGAGGAGAGGAGGCATCGAGGCAGGAATAGGAGCCCGCTGGGGGCGGCTGTGGGCTGCGTCACTCGTGGGCAGGCGTGTGTCTGTGCTCATGTGTGTGGGAGGGGCACACATGTGTCTCCCTGGGAGCTTCTCACTGGGAGCCTGGGAGGTGGTAACACCCCACTGCTCCACACCTGTCCTGAGAATTACAAACTGGTTTATTATCGTAGGGTTGCTTCTAGACACCCAATCCCATCTGTTTTATTATGGGGTGGGCCTGGCAGCAGCCCCATGCTTAATTTGCCTTAGGATTCCCTATGCACGAAGCCACTGGCATTTGGCTCTGGGGTGGGAGACTAAGATGCAACAGGACTTGAGTGACACCCTGGGGCAGCAAGGGCCAGCACCCTTAGCCTTCAACCTGTACCTGCCACCCAGGCAGCCCACAGGTTAATTTAGAGGTGCCAGGCTCTGGAGCAGGCTTAACTGACGGGAGAGTGTGGGCTAGATCTTCTGGGAGCTATAAATAAAAGTACCTGCTTTTGCACACGCCCCTAGCTCCTAGGCAAGGGGAGGAGAAAAAGAGGGAAGAAAGGAGAGAAGGAAATGACACTCGGAAAACTCCTGTGTGCCAAGAGCTGGGCTTGAGGAAGGGAGGGGAAGCATGAGACCGACTGCCCCTGGAGAAAGCCCCACCCTCATCTGCCTCCTCCCAGACGCCTCACCCCCTCCCGCACTCCCTTCTCCATCCCGGAGCTCAGGGCGGCCGGGCCAAAGCCAAGGCCAGAGTCAGCCCTTCCTAGACGAAGCACAACTGAGCGTGATGTTGGTGTGGCCCTTTCGTACCTGGAAGAGCACCAGACAGAAGGGTAGAACCAGAGGAGCAGGACAGGGAGGGGAGGGAAAAGGCAATTGCTTGAAAGGAAAGAAGGGATGGAAGGAGGACAGGCAGTGAAAGCATGCTGCGTGTGCCCTCCACGCACACACTAGGGGAGGGGGGACATGGCCTTGGCTTAACAGTAAAGAGCTCTGGAGTTCAAATGGTTTGCTACTGCATGGCCTTGGGCAGGTTAGTACCCCCCTTGCCTCAGTTGCCTCATCTGTAAAATGGGAATAATAATAGCACGTCCCCACTGTGAGGCTAGCAGGGGATGTTTGTGAAGCTATTAGCACATGCTCAGCCCCCACTAGATGTCGGTGTTAAAACTAATTGTTGAAAGGATTGAAAACAGAGGGATTGCCAAAAACCTTCTGGGTCGGAAAAGAGCTTGCAGTGGGCTGTGGCTTGTGCTCCCACTCCCTCCGGCCTGGGGCCATGTGCACCTACGTGCCCCTGTCCTCCAGCCCTGGCGGGGCTGGCCCTTGCTGAGCCACCCCCGGAGAGGAGAGGGGCCCAAGTTCCAGGGCCCTGGCACTTGTGGCCTTGGCTGCCACTGCCGTCACCTGCCCAAGCCTGGCACCGTGGGTCCTCGGCAGGTGCTTCCTGCCTGTCCTCCGCCCTCCCCCGTCTCTCCACCCCCAACCCCTTCTCTTTTCACGCCTGCTGGCTGAGGGCCCCCGCCCTCCTCGGCTCCATCTGCTGCAAATCTGTCCCCGCCCGGCGTTTGCCGTGTTCCCACTGCCTCTGCCACCTGTCAGGTGCCGTCTGCTCTGCAGACCCCTCCAAGGGGAGCAGAGAGCACTGCCCCGGGGCACCCGTCCCACCTTGGGTCCTCCCCCTCCGGCCTTCCCCCTGCAGTCTATTCCATCAGCTCTCTGAGCAGGTGCAATCCCTGGGTCCTCACAGGGGATACTGGGAGGGGGACATTCCAGAAAGCTCTGTGTGGGTGAGGGTGGAGCTCATTCTTCCCCTCCCCGTCAGTCCCCACAGGAGCCAAACCAGAGGCAGCATGGAGCTGCTGTCCACCCCCCACAGCATTGAGATCAACAACATCACCTGCGACTCCTTCCGCATCTCCTGGGCCATGGAGGACAGTGACCTGGAGAGGGTCACCCATTACTTCATCGACCTCAACAAGAAGGAGAACAAGAACTCCAACAAGTTCAAGCACCGGGTGAGTAGAAGGAGCCCTGGGCACCTCTCCCCAGCACCTGTTCTTGAAGGAGGCAGGAGAGTGGCACACCTGCAAGTGGTGGTGTGGAGTCAGAGTCCTGGTTAACATCCTTGCTGTGTTACCTTGGGGAAGTTACTTGACCTCTCTGAGCCTGCGTTCCCTTGCTGGTGGAAAGGGAATGATAATGCCAACCTCACAGGGTCGTTGAGAGGATCCGATGAGTAATGTTTGCGTGGTGCTTGGCACGGGGCCTAGCACAGAGGGAGTGCTGCTATCAGCACCACGACTGGGACTTCAGACAGGGGCAGAGAGCCCAGTCGGGGTGGGGCCGCAGGTATCACACGTGGGGGTGACGTCTCAGGTCCTGACAAATCCCCACTCGTGGAGCAGCCTTGTTGTTGGCTGGGTGGGCAGCATGGGCTTCGGGCAGGGGTGGGGCCCCTCTTTGGGGTACTCAGTGCTCCCCTCACCTGCTGGCCTGCTGTTGACTTGGTTTGGAGAAGGAACGAGAGAGGGTCCTGTGCGGTGTGTCCTCTTCCAGGGTGACAGGCTGGGGTGGTGGTGGGTGGGAGGGGGCCTCCCATCCTTGCGGGCTGGCAGAGGTAGGGGAGAGTGAGGCGGGCAGGAGCTGGCGCCCACAACGACGGCACTGGCGTGGGTTACTCACCCTCTCTCTCTGGAACCGGCTCTCCCGATCTGGGTGTCTTTTGGCAGGCCAGTTGCCACGGTGACGTGAATGTTCAACACCACCCCCTTAACCCTCCCCCCCAAAGAATAAGGCATATTTTTCCTTCCTCCCTGGCTTCTCAGCATTTGCCGTTGCCGTGGAGACGGCACTGCAGTGTGCAGAGCTCTCAAAGTCTCCCTCAAAAACGGAGGCCTTGCCGCCCTCAACTTTGGGGGCCTTCTCCCCTGGGGCCTTCTCCTCCCGTTCCCAGGAGAACGGGGCGGCAGCGGGGCTTAAGGAGAGGAGAGGCTGGGAGGGTCTATGTGGCCTTCCCGGTGGCCACCACTGGCTTCTGCAGGAAAATGGTGGCCGGGACTTGGAGCCATCAGATCCCTGAGACTCTGGCCATGCTCGGGAGGAACATCTGGGGAGCGGGGATTCTGGCGCATGCCAAGATTGGGCGTGCCCCCCAGTTTGACTCCCGGCTGTCTGTCTCTACCCCGTTTCTCAGGATGTCCCCACCAAGCTTGTGGCCAAGGCAGTGCCACTGCCCATGACGGTGAGAGGCCACTGGTTCCTGAGCCCCCGCACAGAGTACAGCGTGGCCGTGCAGACGGCCGTGAAGCAGAGCGATGGCGAGTACCTGGTGTCCGGCTGGAGCGAGACGGTCGAGTTCTGCACCGGGGGTGAGCCCTGCTGTTACTGTCCTGCGGCTTCGGCACATCTGCCTTAGTGTGGTCAAGACAGGGGCTTCATCTTAATCCAGCAAACACTTACGACCCCTGCCATACACTGGGCAGTAAGCTCAGGCCATGGGGGTGGGGGGTGGGGACCCACGTGGACGAGACCTTTTCTCACATCAGAGGCAGATGTGAGCATGACTAATCGTGCGGGCAAGACCACGTACGTAAAGGGATGAACTTACTTTCCTGGCTTGGTGCAAGCATCTTTTTTAAGATTGTGGTAAAATATGCATCACATGAAATTTACCATCTTGACCCTTTTTAAATGCACAGTTCAGTCGTGTTAAGTAGATTCACATTGCAACCAATCTCCAGAACTCTTCCATCTTGGAAAACTGAGACTCTAACCCACTAAACAACCACTTCCCATTTCCCCTGCCAACCCGCATTCTATTTTCTGTCTCCATGGGTTTGACTCCTCTGGGGACCACACATCGGTGGAATCATTCAGTATTTGTCCTTTTGCGACTGGCTTGTTTCACGTAGCACGATGTCCTCGTGGATCGGCCATACTGTAGCGTGTGTCAGAGTCCTCTTCCTTTTCAAGGCTGGGTAGTATTCCATTGCATGCCCAGACCACATTTTGCTTATCGGTCAAATGTGATTGGTGGGACGATCACATTTTGCTTGTTCTGAGCCTCCACTGAGCCTGGGAAAATGGTCCCTATTCAATGGCCCTGCAAGCTCTCTTAGCAGAACGTAACCTGCAGACTCCAGCAGGAATGAATAAACAAACACCAGGCTTATGTGTACTTGTTCACTAATGACCCAGGATCTGCCCCACAAGATTCCATTCTTCTGGTGTCCACGGGGAGAACTGCTCCAGATCCCTCTGTCACAAGGAAGGGGCAGGGAACATTCTTAGCCCCAGGCCTCCGAGGCTGCTGGTTTCATCCTCTGCCAAGGTCTATGCCCCAAATCTCCTTGAGCTGCTGTTGTCTTTTGAATGATGCTTTTTTCCTGATTCTGCTACAAAACCCCACTCTCTGAGGGCATTTCTGCTCCTTGCGGGGAAAGTGTCTTGGTTTCCCTCCCAAGACCTCCACACGTAGTGGGCATTTAATTCAAACTGGGGAGCTGGGGACAGCTGCCATCCAGTCCACACTCCTCCTGCCAATCCAAGTGCTCCGGCCAGGGCTGCATCAGCAAGGACGGAAGGGCACCTTTTTCTAATTCGTGCCAAGGTCCTGTGCAGCTAGCAGCTGCCCTGCCTGGGCCCCAGGGGTTCAGTTTTATTATCCTATTTCTCCCGAGATGCCCAAGCAGAGGGCCATCGCCCCAGGCCCAGGTCCCCCAGGATTCTTTGACCACCCACCTGTAATTACAACCCACTTCCAGGCGGGGGTGTGGGCAGCCTCCTATTTGCTAGACTTGAGGGGCTGTCTCAAAAGGACCTCACATTCCGCCCTCTCGAATCTTTTTTTTTTTTTTTGCCAACTTGTCCTCTTTAAACATGAGGGTGGCCTGGGATGAGGGCTTCTGAGGTCAGCTTCATCCCCCCATGGAAGATGGGCAGCGGGCAGCGGCTGTGTCTCAAGATGTTGTGTAGCTCCCTGGGAGACCCTTGTGCCCTGTCCCCTCCAGCCGGGGGAGCAGGGCGGGGGAGTCGTGGTATCACTGGCTGCGCAGAACTGATCCATTGGTGGAGCAGATTCGGTCTGGCGCTCTCGTTTTTGCCTTCCTGCCTCTTCCTCTCCACGCCCGCTTTATTTGCTCTTTGTCTATTTTTGCGTGGCTGGGAAATCGTCTCACGGGGCAGCAGCAGGGCGGGGGCCCTTGGGCGGGGCCAGACAGAGTGCGCCGGGCCCATGGAGCAGCCTTGGGGCCGGGAAGGAGCGAGCGCCCCCCCCCCACGTGCTGTGAACCAGGCATCTGGCGCTGTCCCCCTGCTGGAGCTTGTCCACACAGGAGTCTCTCCTTCCTCTGCAGGTCTTCCTTGCGAGCCACCCCCGGTTGGGCCAACGGTGAGTTGCCTTCCTCCCCTGAGATTCTGCTGTCCATTCCTGAGGGACTGGGAGACGGGGGGCCCAGGTCCTGCCACTGCCGGGGGTGCCACCTGATTTCCAGGCCTGACGACCCTTGTTCCCTTTCCTCGGGCCTTCAAAGGGGTTAACAGCTGGATCCGTCTCTGGGGCACCACAGTTAGTCACCCCGTGACATTCTAGCTGCAGTCATGCCGATGGCCAACAGGGCACGGCGGGCGTGGGGGAGTTCATCTGGCACACGGTGGGCTTTCGACCGGGCGGGGAAGGGGATGTCAGTTGTGTACCACTGTGCACACACTCGCAGGAGACAAGGCTGTCTGGGCAGACGGGTCTGTGTGCATTGAATGGTCCTTCAATGTGGGTTTAATGGAGTGAGGCATGTCTCAAAACAATTTTTTGACACGTGAGGTCGCATGTGGGGGGCACTACCTGAGTAGCCTGTGACACCATGCGTGGGTGGAGGCCTGTGAGAAGTGCATTTTAGGTGACATGACTTGTCAGTATGTTGGGGATGTTCACGTTGGGGGGTGATGGCAACCGGTTAGGCGGGGTGAATCGGGAGGCAGGGCGGGGTGGGGCAGTGGCGAGCCTGAGGCAGAAGCCCTGGCTGGGCAGACTGCGTGGGGGCAGACCTGTTGCATGGAGACGTCAGGCTGGGCAGGTGGGCAGGAGGCAAAGTCTGTGTTTTGGGCCGGAGGAAGACTCAGGAAGAGATACCAGAATCCGGGCGGGGGCTTGACGCGTTGTGCGAATGCAATGTGTGTGCCAGGCAGGATGTGGGTGCGTGCCTGCTTGTGGAGGTGGCACGCAACATGTTGGTGCTGTGGCTTACTCTTTTCCAAATTATGGCTTGTGAGGGAAGGTGTGGTGAGCTGTGCACTGACGGTCTGGTGTGTTTGGAGGCGACAGCTGTGAGAGGGAGACTGCGGGGCATTCTTGGACTGTGGAGGGTGGGAGAGGGCCTGAGTGGTGCTGAGCGCAGCGAGGGTGTCGCGGAGGTGTGGGGTGCTGTGGGTGGGGACGCTCGGCACAGGTGTGGGTGCGTGCCTGCTGGCCTGAGTGTGGGTGTGACATGTTGTCTCGGGGATGGATCCACTGGGGAGTGTGGGTCGATTTTTCGGGTGTTGTCCCGCCTGTTCCTTCAACCCTGCCCTTTCCCAGGCATCGGGTTGTAGAAATGGGGTTACGCCACCAGGTCCACCAGGGGCTTCTCGTGGCATCCCTGCCATCCTCCCAGCTTGGGTGGGGTGTCATCAGCTTCCCAGAAAATGCGAGAGGAAGGGACGAACATCCCGGCAGGTCTGGAGACCAACACGCCACACACAGCTGCCCGAATTTGGGGAGACTGTGAGGAGAGGAGGCATCGAGCAGGAATAGGAGCCCGCTGGGGCCGCTGTGGGCTGCGTCATCTGTGGGGCAGGCGTGTGTCTGTGCCATGTGTGTGGGAGGGCACAATTGTCTCCCTGGGAGTTCTCACTGGGAGCCTGGGAGGTTAACACCCAACTGCTCCCACCGTCCTGAGAATTACAAACTCGTTTTATTATCGTAGGGTTGCTTCTAGACACCTTTTATTCCCATCTGTTTTATTATGGTGGGCCTGGCAGCAGCTATGCTTAATTTTGCCTTAGATTCCCTATGGCACGAGACTGGCATTTGGGCTCTTGGGGTGGGAGACTAGATGCACAGGACTTGAGGACACCCTGGGCAGCAAGGGCCCAGACCCTTAGCCTTCAACTGTACCTGCCACCAGGCAGCCCACAGGTTAATTTTAGAGGTGCTTTAACTGGACGGTTTTGGGTTTAGTTCTTCTGGGAGCTATATTCCTGTTTTTTTTGAGGAAGAAAGGCGAGATTTTATGGGAACTCGGAATTGAGCTTGATCCTCATTTTGATTGAAACGCCCCCCCCTTCCTCCGCACTCCTGTTCATCTTTCTCAGGTATTTACGAAAGCAAATATTGGAATTGTAGATTTATTGAGGAGCAGGACATATTGGAATAGGAAAGTATATTCACGCATACATGGTTAGGGTGAGGGGTGCTATTGGTCTAACAGTAAGACTCTGGGAGTATTCAATGGTTTGTCTTGCATTGGGCCTTGGGCAGGTTTACCCCCTTGCATCAGTTGCCTTTGTAAAATGGGACTAATAATAGCATGTTTCCCACTGTGAGGCTAGCAGGGGATGGGTTATGTGAAGCTATTAGACATGCTCAGCCCTCCATAGATGTCTGGTGTTAAAAATAATTGTTGGAAAGATGAAAATCAGAGGGATTGCCCAAACTAATTTCTGGGTCGGAAAAGAGCTTGGCAGTGGGCTGTGGTTGTGGTCCCACTGCATCGGCTGGGGCCATGTGACCTACCGTGCCCCTGTTCCCGCTGGCTGGGTGGCCTTGCTGAGCACCTCGGACGAGAGAGGGGCCAAGTTCCAGGGCCTTGGACTTGTGGCCTTGTTGCACTGCCGTCCCTGCCCAAAGCTGGCACCGTGGGTCCTCGGCAGGTCTTCCTGCCTGTTCTCCGCCCTTCCCCCGTCTCCCACCCCCTTTTTTCAGCCTGTCTGGCTGGAGCCCCCCCGCCCTCTCGGCTCCATCTGATGCAAATCTGTCACGCCGGGTTTGCCGTTGTTCCCATGCTCTTGCCCCTGTCAGGTGCCGTCTTTGCTCTGCAGCCCTCAAGGGGAGCGAGAGCACCGCCCGGGCACCCGTCCCATTGGGTCCTCCCCCTTGGCCTTCCTGCAGTCTATTCCATCAAGCTATCTGAGAGGTGCAATCCTGGGTCTCACAGGGGATATGGGAGGGGAATTCAGGAAAGCTCTGTGTGGGTGAGGGTGGAGCTCCCCATTCTTCCCCTCCCCGTCAGTCCCCACAGGAGCCAAACCAGAGGCAGCATGGAGCTGCTGTTCACCCCCACGCACTTGAGATCAAACATCACCTGCACTCCTTCGCTTCTTCTGGGTCATGGAGGACAGTGACTGGGAGAGGGTCCTTATTCATGACCTCAACAGAAGGAGAATCAGAACTCAACA